GGGTTTAGGGTTTTGGGGTTTTAGGTGGTTTAGGGTTTAGGGTTTAAGGTCTGTTCTCCAGGGTTTAGGGTTCCTTAAAGGGATCTATAAGGGTTATTTAAGGGGTTTAGGGTTTTGGGGTTTTAGGGGGTTTAGGGTTTAAGGTCTGTTCTCCAGGGTTTAGGGTTTAGGGTTTAGAAACTCATCCAGGCCTGTTCTCCAGGGGAGGCTGGTTAAAGGAAACTACAGGTGGGGAGTCTAGGGTATATAGAGCTTCTATAAGGTATATACACCTTCTATCACCCTAAACCCTAAACCCTAAACCCTAGATCTTCTATAAGGCTCCTAGAATGGTAACTACCCACCTGAAACTCATCCGGGTCTGTTCTCCAGGGGAACCCTGGGTTCTTGTTTAAGGGATGTTTTACTTAAGTTACCAGAATTAGGGTTCTTATAGTAAGCAATATATGGCTTCCTTATTATGGCAACAAAAACCTGGGTTCTTGTTAAGGGATGTTTTACTTAAGTTACCAGCAGAGGGTTCTTATAGCAAGTAATATATGGTTTCCTTGTTAGGGTAACTCAAATAAAATCCTTTAACCCAAAACCCCTAAACCCTAAACCCTAAAACCCTAAACCCATAAACCCTGAACCCCTAAACCCTAATCCCTTAACAAGAGCCCAGGAACAGGTAGAGCTTCAGCTGTTCGGTGCCGCTGTCCACGCCCTGGTGCCCGCCACGTGCCGTCACAGCAGACTCGATGATCGATTTCAGGGAGGCGTAGGGCCCCACGCCGTGCATTCCATCCTCGGTTGACCCTAAGGGTGTTTAGGGTTTAGGGTTTAGGGTCCATGTACCGATACTTTGGCCTGAAAGGTAGTCCCTATCTGGCTGCTTTGGGGCCAAGGTATATTCTATTTGGGCACATGGACCCTCAGGGTTGACCCTTACTCTGAACATCTCCGGGGTTTAGGGGTTAGGGTTCATAGGGTTTAGGATTTATGGGGCTTATGGGTTTGTAGGATTTAGGGTTTATAGGGTTTAGGGTTTATAGGGCTTAGGGATTATAGGGTTTAAGGTTTAGGGTTTATAGGGTTTATTTAGGGTTTAGGGATTTTAGGTTTAGGGTTTAGGGTTGCGCTAACGGTTAGGATGCAGAAAGGCACCGGCTTGCACACTTGTCCTTTTAAAAGGCATCAGCCCAAGAAGGGAAAGAGAAGCCCTTATAACCCCTACCCTACACCCGAAAACCCCAAATCTTTATAGCACCCTTGCATATATATATATATGTATGTATATATATATATATATGTATGTATGTGTATACATATGTACATATGCATATATGTAATCCTTTAAAGAAAGGAGCTCCAAAACTTTTTCACGACCTACCCAGCGTCCTTGAGGCTCACTCGCTCCGTGCGGACGAAGTAGCAGCTGCTCGGCTTTGACGGATCGCAGAATCTGAAGGACCAGACAAAACAGCTTAGGGTGGTTCGGGTTTGGCCTAGGGCGCTTCTTGGTTGTCGGAAAACCTGAGGGACCCAATTCCTAAACCCTATATACCCTATAAACCCTATAATCCCTATACACCCTATAAACCCTAAACCCCAAAACGGCTTCGGGTTTCTTGTCCCAGGACCAGGTCTTCGAAATTCTTATAGATCCATCCTCGAGAGCCAGAAACCCTTAAAGCGGAAACTCCCAAACTGTTCCGTACAGGCTAGGGGTTTAGGGTTTAGGGTTTAGGGCTTTTTTTTTACGGTTTAGGGTTTAGGGCCTAGGGTTTGTAAGGTTTGTTGGGTTTATAGGGTTTATAGGGTTTATAGGGTCTATAGGGCTTAGGGTTTATGGTTAGAGAGCCGGGCCACAGTCAAAAGCTTTCAACTCCCAAGTCACTTCAGGGGCCGACAGGTTCCCTAAACCCCTAAACCCCTAAACCCTAAACCCCTAAAGCCCTAAAGCCCCAAAGCCCTTAAAGCCTATAGACCCTAAATTCCTAAACCCTATAAGCTCTACGCATGCAAAGGAGCTGGAAGGTGTCGCCGCAAGCTGTATCTGCGACGGCGGCCTCGAGATCGTCCCGGAAAAGGGGCGAGAAGCCAGCCTCGAAGCCACGGATGCTACGGCCCCGTAAATCCTACCTAACCCCGAAAAGTACCCCATGACCCATAAACCCCAGTACCCATACATAACCCAAGCAACCTGCTATGTGTTTGCTTGAGCTTCTAGAGCCGGCCTGCTGTACTGCCAGTTGCGACGCTTCTTTCATCCATGTCGTGTGCTTGCGCGGAACGTTCACGATACCTGGGCCCCTGGTACAGGCAGGAAACAACCGATCCTTTTAGAGCGCTCCCTTCTTGAAGATCAGGAAACACCAACCACAAAATGGAAAAAACAACGAGAGTTGACCAAGACACGATAGTGCCCCCGAAATTGATCCACCCAGTGGCGTGTGGAGCATTTTTCCAAACCTTCCCGGTAGTCAGCCGGCGGCTCCGGCGCATCTTCGCGCAGGATGAGGCGCGTGGAGTCAGCTGGGTCCACCTTGTACATCCACTGGTTGTTCCTGGGCACCAACGCCCATATAACCCGTCCGAAGGCACGACAACTAGCATCGGAAGCTGCACACATAGTGGCACTTCATAATATAAATCCTGCATTACCCATAATAAGGAATATACCATAATTCCCATAGTCTGGGATCCTTAAGGTAATGCAGGATTATATCATCAACCGTTACACCCTTACAAGTCCAAATCATCTATATACGGTACTTCGGTTTTAGGTCTAGGTGTTATAGGGCCTTACAGGGTTTGGGGTCTGGGGTTTGGTCATCAACCGTAGTCAGGGCACATGTTGTAGTGCACTTTGTCCCGTGCTTTGACATCTTCAACAGAGATGCCTTGCAGCACCACACGAGGCAGTGGCTCAGCTTCGGAGACTTTGGAGGAAGCTGTACCTGCAACGGTATTCTAGTAGTTTAAGGGGGTAGCTCGGTCTTAAGATGAGGGTTTAGGGTTTAGGGGTTTAGGGTTTAGGGTTTAGGTACTCCAGTAGTTCTCAAGGCAGTAGTTTGGCCTTAAGATAAGGGTCTAGGCTTCTTAAACCTCGGGTGCCCTTTGTGTATGGAGGAGGTCCTTATGCGTCGTCTCTGGGGGAGATAACTATCCATACAGGGAAGCCCAGAAAGCTGGGACATGGATCTGGGATGATGAGTGCTACGGTTGATGATATAAATCCTGCATTACCCATAAAAAGGAATATACCATAACTCCCATAGTTGAGGGTCCTTAAGGTCATGCAGGTTTTATATCATCAACAGTAGGATCCTTTCTACCTTTATCCTTTAAGAGCACCAGGACAACGATGTTCCAAATTTCTGGCTTCTACTTTACACCCTAAACCCTAAACCCTAAACCCTTAGATCCAAAACCCAAAACCCCAAAACTCCAAAACTCCTAAACCCTAAACCC